TGCTGACAAAATGAAGCCATCCTTTTGTTAACGTTCCCCTTCAAAAAAAATGTAATAAGTATTTGGTGTCCCAGGTGGTATCAGAAATGAATTTCGGACTGAGCCACAGAAACTAATGGGTTTTGGTAAGCTTGTGATTTTCCAAAAAATCCTGCCTGAAAGTTGAATTCTCTCGTCTGACCTAGATTTTATTGGATGTTAATTTCTCACAATACTCTTGGAACATTACTATTTTTCAATATGTAAGACATGCAGGTGTGGAGGAGATTAGCAGGAGAAGTGACAAGTTAATGAGGCAAGCATTCTAATCACTGTTCTTAGAATCCCGTGTAACAAATGCATCAACTGTAAAATTACCAGCATAATGATCCACCTCCAGAACTCAAAAAAAAAAAAAAAAGATTAATGGAAAGGAATAATTTTTTAACATTTCCCCAGATTTTGGCAAGCTGCTTTGTATTCTTAAGGGTAAAATAGCTCTATTAAAATGAAGCATCCCAGCCCTTTTTCCATTTGCTTTCTAAAGAGGAACAGCTCTTTAATGCCATGGTTATATTTAGTTCCACTATTTTAACTTTTGTTACTATAGGGGTCCATTGTGTGCTGGAATAATCCACAAAGGGGAGAAGAAACTCCATGAGTTTTAACTTGAGGAGTTTCCTTCTTATACTTCCATAGGGTTAGTGGGGTTGGATTCTGCCCTTTCATCCTTACCTCCACAGATGTGGTCAGGAGTGACACCCCAAAACTTACAGAATCCCTGGCCTTCTTGTTGGTGCCCAATTCCAAAAGAAAGCAGTTGAAAGGTTCCAGGCTTCCTTAGCATTTCTCTAGCCAACATATTTATTTATTATTTATTTAATTTTAATTATGGTACCACCTAGAGGCCAGGGCCCCATTGTGCTAGGTACTATACAGACATATAACGCTGAGATGGTCCCTGATCCAGAGAGCTTAATGAGTCATAAAACCAAGGTCCTGAATGGGATCCTTAACGTAAGTAGGGTTATTTGTTAACCCTTCTCACCTTAGATTTGTTTCAGTTCTGTTAATTACATTCTGCCTTCTTAGGTTGTCCCTGCAGTTTTAACTGGATATGGTACACTTCACTTGGTATCCCTCGGACTCTGTGTGCGTTCTGTGCTTTGTTCTGTTAAAACAGCTGCTGTGTTTCTCCCCAGAAGCATGTATGTTTCAGTGGTAGGTAGCTGGTAAAGCACTCTGGGATTTCTCTGGGTTGACAGGTGCTCTATAAACATACAGGAGTATTATTTACTGTAAAATGAAAATTTTCTCTCCATGGGTTTTTAATGTAGTACTGGTCCTTTTATGTTCTAGAAAGCACTAATATAATCAATTTTAAGTGTATGTACAGTATTTACATTTAACCAGAATTTTGAATATGCATAATGTCATACCATGGGTATGGACCTCCTATAGATACTATACTATAAGACAGTTTCAGTGGTGCTTTGTGTACTGTAGCATTCCGTTAATAATGGGTGAGCATTTAGATTGCCTGATTCTGATTTTACACTGATATTGCTCTGTTGACTTCAACAGAGTTACTCCTGGTTTACACCAGCGTACAGGTGAGGAGAATCAAGCTGAGAGTTTTCTTTGACTGGGGTTCTATGTACTAAGAAAAAGAATGCTGGTAAAATGCTGATGTTGATATGGCTCTGGCTCTGAGAGTTCTTTCAATAGCTGTGAAAAAAACTGCAGGGGGTTCCTTTCACATAGTGTCATTAAGAGCAAAGTGTATCCAATTCTGCTCATCTCGGTCCTCTGCAAGTGAAGAAGGTGACAATAGGAATGAACTGGGTGATGTTTTGAAAACAAAGTCCCCATTCTCCATTTTACACTAGAGTAAATCAGAATTATCTCCATTGAAGTCAATGGAGTTACACCAGAGTAAGAGGGAAATCAGGGCCTAGGTCTCTTTAATTGCAGTTGGAGGGCCAGATGCTTTGATGGTATGACTCAGCATAGCTCCACTGAAGTCAATTTACACAAGTTCCCCCTATTTCCAAGTCTGCCACTGATGGCAGTCATACAGTCAGGTTTGCCTTAGTCTGCAGTGGTCACATTTGTGGTTGAGCTCTTTTTCCCTCCTTGTGTGTTAAGCAGAGTTGTGTTTGGTCAATACTTGAATGGGAGATATGCAAGAAAAACACAGGAGGTCACCTTTTTAGCAACAACCTAAACTGAATAATAATACTCCTAAGGATGTCATATTAGAATCATGGCTAGAATGCATACCCCAGGGTGGAGGGGAAGACCCCAGTATGGTAGAGAGTAAGGTACAAACGTTCATTGGACCCTAACAATCATCCTTTCAAAAGTGGCTATCTAGCCTCGCGGCTGGTAATAGAACAGCACATACACTTGTATACAAGGAGGTAAATTTGAAGAACAAATATCCAAAGGTATAAAAGCAATGAATTCTTTGTACTTTGGTTCTACCTTGAAAACGACCCTTTGTAAATCTGCTGCCTATGTATATTCAGAGCCATAACTTAGTGACAAATTATTTCTTTTTCCTTTTTACTCTTGTCAGTGTAACCCTGACTTGTACAATGGTGGTTTTTGTCCCCCCAGGGCAGAGGTAGTCAATTATTTTTTGTTAAGGTCCAAATTTCTTGGTCAAGGTATAGTAAAGGTCCAGACTCCAGAGAAAATTTAAAAAACCCAATAATGATAATAAGTAAATAAAAAGTTTTTGGGGTCTGTTCAGAAGCATCTGGCAGTCCAGATTGCAATTCGCTTGCTGAGTACCCCTGCCCTAGCGGCTGGTCCTCATAAGAGGATAAGACTCTATTAGGGCTGCCAGCTAGAGGAGTTTCTCCTTTAGCTCAAGCAATTGAACCTCATGCTGAAGATCCCAGGTTCAGAGCCTGCTGATGAGCCAAGCAGGTGGTCATTATGTTAGCCCTGCAAAGCCAGCACAGCTCACAGAGAGGGAGCTGGATTGTATTACTTCTTGAGCATCATCAACAAAACTGTTTTAGGTTACAGTTACAGGGCCAATTAGTTGCACTTTTGAAAACTTACTGAAGACAATGATGTTTACCCATGTGTCTCTGAGCACATACTTTGGCCTGCAGAATCCCTATTACAGTTGATGTGCAAGGAGAGAACCCAGCTTGATTCTGAAAGCTGAGACTTTGGGTCCTGATCCTGCACATACTTATCGGCATGCCTAATTTTATGCCTATGAGTAGCATCATTGATACTTACAGGACTCGGCCTTGCAGGGCTCTCACTCCAGAACTAAAAATAGCAGGGTAGGTGTTCCCGCTCAGGCTGGAGCCCAGGTTCTGAGACCCTCTAATTCCTATATTTTATACTGGGTAATGGGAAAATACCTCTCTCAGGATTATTATTTACAGGTTAAAAAAGAGGCAATGGAATAAACTGAGAAATTAAACGTCAATAAATGACCGGTATTTGGTTCTTTACAGTGGGCACAGATGTTGACCATTCTACATTAATTAAGGTTGTAAAACAGTTTACATTCTAATCCCAATTTGTAGATGCTCATAATTTTTAGTGATTTTTTTTTCAACTTTGGGGCTGAAATTTCACCTGGTTGGCCGATGTCTCAATATGAATCTTTCTGGAAATCGCTGCTTTTAATTTGTGAAAGGGTGAGACACAAAGTGCAGTTTTGCCACTGTTAAAAAAACCTTCCCCCCCCCCCCATGAATAGCGTGCAGGAGAGAGAGCATGAGACCAGCCAAATCCTTGAACTTGAAGTTTTCCATGTGCAGATTTCTCAGTGTACATTTGCTTTGCTAGGTTGTTGTTTTTTGTTTGTTTGTTATGGTTTTGTTTCTAAATGGCTGCAAAATAGGCTTATGAATTTATAAAATCTGCTTTGGACCATGCATAGTGTGAAAAGCCATTAATGTTTAAGGCCCCAATTCAGCAAAGCACTTAAGCACATTGGCTATTAGGTATGTGCATAATTGCTTTGCTAAGTAAGTATGGATGTAAGCATATGTTTATGTGCTTTGCTGAAGCAGGGTCCAAACTATGATGTTATCCTTGATGCACTAGTCACCTGAATTGCTCCAACCCAGCCATGATTTCTTTACAAGGGAGACAAATGTTTGTTAAAGCCAGTGTCTCTGATAAAGGAACCCATTAGCATCCTCCTGCTCCTTGTTCTCCCCATTGGCACGGCCTTCCCATCTTTTCCTTTCATCCCCACTTGCTCTTCCTTTGGTAGTCTTCTCTTTGTTTCCTAACTCCTTCATTTCCTGCTCAGCATGTTTCTGCCGATCTGTGTTAGCTACTTAAGTGCAGGGCCGGCTCCAGGCACCAGCTTGTCAAGCAGGTACTTGGGGTAGCCGCTCCGGAGAGGGGCGGCACGTCCAGCTATTCGGCGGCAATTCGGCGGACAGTCCCTCACTCCCGCTCGGAGCAAAGGACCTCCCACCGAATTGCCGCCGCAGATCGCAATCGCGGGGTTTTTTTT